GCCCCTCAGACCCCGTCAGAACCCCTCAGAGCCCCCAGGACCACCACACCCTGCCAGGCCCCTGAGATCCCGCCAGGACCCCCAGACCCGTGCCCGAGGCTGGCGCTGCTCTCTCACCTCCCGGCCGCTGTGGCTGCGGCTTCCCGGGGCTCGGGCTGAAACCTTCGGGGCGTCCTCACCCAGTTTTCCTCCCCTCCCCCCATCTCCATCAAAAAGGCCCATGGCCCGCCATCCAGTCACTGTTGGGATCTGACCAGTTGTCCCGGCTTCACACCCGCCCCTGCAGGGCCCTCAGGTCTGGGCTCTAGAGGCTCCAGGCTTCCCTCCCCCCCCCCCGCCCCCCTTAAATTTTATATTGTAAAGCAACGGTGAGGTTCCATTTTATCTATACAGATTTAGGACCTCTTGGCAAAAACAAAATTCATCTTATAGGCACACATGGATTGTTTACCTCTTTATTTTATAGGAATTAGCTTTATCAAAGAAAATGCAGATCAGGAAGTGGCTTTTAGGAGTGGTGAGCGATGATGATGCCCTGCAGGTGTTGCTGGTTTTATCAGGACCGGCACTGGTTTTCCTTCTAGAGGACCCAGCTCTTTTTGTGTAGGATTCCCTGTTGTCAGTGATTCTGCCACTGTGATGATCATGAATCCCTCCTCTGCCTGATGATTCTGTGGAGATTAAAAGTATCAAGCCATGAAGCTTGCTAAACCAAGAAATGTTAAGGAAATAAAATTCCCAAGATACTGCAGCTTAGTAGCTGGCTGTGGCTTAGGCAACTCCCTCTGTCTGGAGCACCTCGCCCTGTGACTGGAGGTCATAGCGTTTAACATACTCACACTTGTGTGTCCACTTGAAGTATCAGAAGGCTGGATGTGCTGCCTCGGGGACAGACTGAGCTTTCTTTGTGAACTTAGCTCAGTGCTTCTTCCTTTGCTTTCCCTGATGGTGGTGAGTCATGTTCCCTCCAGACAGAGGTGCTTTACGGGAACCATCCAAAGTCATTCATGATGAAATACAAGAAAAAAGAGGATGTTCTGAGTGGTAGGTGTCATTTGTTGGTTCAAGATGGAGGTGGAATTATAAAGTGAGACTGTCTCATGCCTTCCAGGCAGGCAAGAGTCCTTCATGGCCAGAGCACAGGGCTGGATGTTGGAACCATTCCCATTGTCTGGTGCTGCTGCTGGTCACCATCAGCTTACAGATCCATTTTCTTTCTTTGTAGATCACGTTTTATATTCTGGTGAAGGCCATTTACACGCTGGGCTACAGTGTCTCTCTGATGTCCCTTGCAACAGGAAGCATAATTCTGTGCCTCTTCAGGTAAGGAGTAGAAATTAGTCTGCAAAGAATACAAGACAAGAAAACTTTCCATTTAGGCCTTCTAGGCGCTGCCCAGCCTAGAGCCCTCTGTGTGCTAAGCCAATAAAACTCCCTTGAAGAATGCTGGCATGAAATATGATGTTAACATTTACATTTTTATTCAGATGCTCTGTATTTGTCATGTAAAGAGATAATATTGACCTTGGATAAGAGTTCAACTCAACTATCATTTATTAAATACTTAGCCATTATGTAAATGCATGGAAAATAGAGAAGAAATATGATCTCGCCCTTGCCATCCAGAAGCTCCTGTGTTTTGGCTGCAGGTGCTCTATTAGCAAGATGCTGCATTGTGTTTAAGAGCATGAAGGTGGAGTCAGACTGTCTGGGCTCAAATCCTGGGAAGTCTCTTAGCAGCTGTGTGACCTTGGGCAAAGTACTTAACCTGTCTGTGCTTCTGTTATGTGTGGAGACTAAGAAGCCCCCTTCAGAGGGCTGTTGTGAGGACTTAACATGTTGGCAGATGTGAAATGCTTAGCGTGACCTGTGGGGTGGTGATGACAGCTTATTAAATGCTGTCCACTCTTCCCTGGAAGTGAGGTGAGACAGCCTCTGCCCACCTACATCTTTAGTGGGTCTCTTGGTAACTAATGATGACATTTTACAGATGATTTGACCAATCAAATCATTGTTTGAGTTAGGAGGTAGAGGTTTTGGTCCCAGAACAGCAGTTTCTCTATAGGAAGAGCTCATTGGTGTATTAGGATTAAATCTGTCTTCCGTATCATTAGCACTAAATAAAATGGTTGCTATTCAGCTTATTCTAATAGTGTATCAATCATTGCATATTTTATTTCTCTCTGCTAAAATGTAATCCAAAAGTTTGCCAGTATGTCAGATAAGATCAATGATATAACAAATGGAATATTTCTAGACCCTAACAACAGTCCATTAGGAGATCCATGCTTGGAAGTAAAATAAACAAGTTAGTTGTTGAGAATCCAGCTAAGAAACTCAGCAAATGTAATTGAGTTATGTTTTTTATTGTTCAGGCATCTCAACCATGGTTGGCAATTCTCAGAAAGAATAAGTCTACCTTTCACACAGGGTTGCACTTTGAAAAATGTGAGGAAGGCCTATCATATTCTAGTTATTTCAAAAAGCTGGTACAATATTAATATTTGTTCTATTATACTCTATATTTTATTATACATGTTTAAATTTTCAAGTTGCTAAAGAGAAGAAAGAGAGGAAAAATTTAAGGAGGCAAGCTGACCCAAGGTAATTAAATCTGAAATGTTTATCTTATTTTCCTGTATTGAACAATCCCTATTTTTTACACACATCAGTTTCCTTCACGTATGTACAGTGTGACATATTTATTAGGCAACCCAAGAGCACCAGGAATTATCCCACCTATGAACACTGATCCTTTAGGGCACAGAGCACCCTCCGCCATCTGTGGGCATGATTAGTCACCTGCCTGTGGTACTTCTGAGCTGAAAAAGTGTACGTCTGCATCAGGTGTCATTCTGCTGGTGGCTGAGTGTGTGATGTTTGCCAGAAAAAGCATCCAGAGCTGGTGTGCTGTTGTAGGACTGGGGCTCATCCCACATCCTTCCGTCAGAAGCAGGGTCCAGTGTCACTTCCTGAGAGCTGTGTGAGTGTGTCGATTCTAAAGTCCATATTATAAAAATAATGTGCTCCATTGTCTCAGTAATTATACCCAGGAAGCAGAATGCTTTGTGGGCATTGAACATTTCTTCTCCAAAATAGCCCCATAAGCCAAGAAAGCCTTCAGTAGCCATGTTCTTACTTTACACACAGGGAAATGGAGCTACTTATTTCTTAGAGAAAGTCCCACAATGCGATGATGACTCTCACAACAAATATAAGACCAGCTTTGTGTCGGAGTCGTCCTGTGACAGCTGCCCCTGTGACCCAGGGGCCAACAGAGACAGCTCCAGTTCGTGCCAGTCCAGCAGGGACCACAACACCATTGCTCCTCAAACAACATGGGTTTGAACTGCATGTTATACTTCTCTGAGAATTTTTTTCATTATGGTCAGCCCTCTGTGTCGAGGGATTCAACCACAGATCAGAAACACGGCCTATTCTCAGGATGAGGAGCCTGCAGATACAGAGGCCAGCTTCATGTATCCGCGGGTCCTGAAAGGCCAACTATGGGACTTGGACATTCATGGATTTTGGCATGGGGTAAGGAGGGCAAGGTCGGGGAGGGGGATTAGACCCAATCCCCTATGGACACCAAGGGACAACTGTAACTGCTCACAAGCACCATGGCAAGTATTTTACAGATGTTAACGTCACCGGGTAAGTACTGCCACTGACCCAGTTTCACCAGGCGGAGAGTGCAGCCCCAGGAAGATTGCTGGACATTTCAGGGTTGCTGAGCTGGTACCTGCAGAGCCCAGATTCTCTCATCAATGCAGCTTGTACCTCCATCACTGTCAGATGAACGTGGCCTCCAAAATCCTTTCCCACCAGTGCTGATGAGCAGACTCCAGACCCCCTTTCCAGAAGCCACATTTTCCGCTACTTCCATTGCCCATTGGCAGAACCATACGTGGAAGTGAAAATTTAAAATGAGCAGTGAGTAATGAAGAATATCATCAAGAAACCCAGCAAACATGTTTGGATGGCTTGCTACCTGGACCAAAAGCGTGCTTATGTCTGAGCAATGGCTATAAGTGCCAACCTCACTCCACAGAAAGACATGGGGTGGGAGAGAGAGGGGAGGAGAAAAAGAAGAGAGGGAAAAAGGTGATAGGGAGAGATGAATGCAGCCAATGTGAGAATCAGTGGGAAGCGAAATGGCACCAGTAGGGGACATCTGCCTTCTGAGGAGGGGAATTGAGGAGAAGCCAGAGGAAGTGGCGCTGGTTCATGCATCTGGCGCAGTGGCCGCACCGTGCCCACGCAGCTTCAGAATTGCTCCCAAGACACCAAGAAAATTCAGAGTGTATTTATAATTCTTCACTTACTAAGGCTCGGTGGCAGTTACATATATTAAACATTTGCTAATGCAGTACACATTCAGAAAGCATGTTTACCAAGTGAACACAGCACCAGATCCAGATGCAGGACACGACTGTCACCAGACACGCTGCAACCACGCTGCATCCACCCCGCTTCCCTCCTGAGAAGCAGTCGTTATTCGGAGTTCTTGCACCAGAGACAACTTTTCTGTCCTTTCGAAAATGTTATTTCGTAATCCTACAAAAGGGACTCCTGATCTCTGGGTTCTTTCACTCAATGTTTTGCAAGGAGGCTCATCCATGTTGTTGCATGTTGCTGCCATGTTTTATTTTCTTGCTGTATAGTATTCCACTCAAAAAAAAAATACAATTTATTTATCCAATCAACTGTTTATGGACATATGGGTTACTCAGCTGGAGGCATAACAAATAATGCTGCTGTTATACTCTTAGTCATCATCTCATGCACATATGCACATGTTACTTCAGGTATGTGTGTTTATGTGTATACACATTTATATTTACATTTATGTTTATCTTGTATTTACTGGTCATAGGCTATATGTAGACATAGTCTTTCTGGACACTGCCAGTATATACACTAATACCCTGATGGGATCATGATACAACATAGACATGTATCAAAGCACCAAAGTGTACCCCACAAATATATACAATTACCAAGTGTCCATTAAAAATAAATACATTTATTGAAAATAAATGAAGGCCGCCAAGTGATTTCCAAAGTGGTTACCAGTGTCCACACCCACCAGCAGGGCATGAGGCTTCCATTTGCACTGCATCCTTGCCTCCATTCGGTATTGTCCGTTTTTAAGCCTCCAGCCATTCTTGTGGGTCTATCATAACATAGAATGATGTTTTAATTTACACTTCCCTGATTTCCCTGGTGGAAAATGAGTTCGTATGTTTCAAAATCTTGCTTTTTTTATAGCGCCATTTCAAAATGAGTTTGCTCATTTTTTTATTTGATCTCTCTCTCTATTTAAATCAATATTTAGGAGTCTTAGAGTCTTCCATTAGGTATGAGTATTACGGATTTTGTCTCCAGCTCTGTGATTGGGTTTAAGCCTCTTCGTGGTCTTTGGATAAACAGAAGCTCTTAGCTTTCATGGAGCTCATTTGCCATTTGTTTCTTTATGCCATTGTTTCTTGAGTCCTCTTAAGAAATCTTTTCCATATTCTTTTTTATCATCTAGAGATTTTATTATTTTAACTTTTCATGTTTCTGGCCATAATCTACCTGTGATTTATTGCTGCTATGGTGTGAAGTGGGGTGAAGTTTCGTGAGGTTTCAGCATAACATCCAGTTGTCAAGCAGGTATGAGAAGGAGCTTCTGTGGCCTGCATTGCTTCTCTGTCACAGAGCAGGCAGTGGCATGTGTGGGGACCTAGAGTCTCAGTTCTGCTCTTTTGGCCTTCTGTCTGTCACTGCACTGTTTCTGTTTATTATAATTACCCTGCCTTTAATAAGTCTTTATTCCTAGGAGTCCCAAGTGCATCAACTTTTTTTTTTTTTTTTTAATTAGGAAGAGCTTGGCCATTTGTACTTACATGTGAATTTTTTAAATTAACTTTTAAAAATGAACTTTTAATATCAATTGCCATTTTTTAAAAATCAGGCTGGATGGAGTGGCTCACACCTGTGATCCCGGCACTTTGGGAGGCCAAGGCAGGATGATTGCTTGTGCTCAGGAGTTTGAGACAAGCCTAGGCAACATAGGAAGACCCCATCTCTATGGTATCTGCAACAAAGTTTAAAATTAGCTGGGTGTGGTGGTGCATGCCTATAGTCTCTGCTACTTAGGGGCTAAGGGGTCGAGGCTGCAGTGAGCCATGATCATACCACTGCACTCCACCCTGGGCAACAGAGCACGACCCTTTCTCTCAAAAAAACAAAAATTATATTGCAATTTCATTTGGAATTGCATTGTATCTATAGATCAGCTTGGATAAACAGGACATCTTTCTAATTTTGAGTCA